CGCCCCGCCGGCCCACTTCCTGCCCGCCGCGCCTCGGCTCCTGCTCCCACCTCAGAGGAAACCGCCAGGCCCCGGCGGACGTCCTTGCTCTCTGCTTCCTCTTTCCCACAGGCCCAGATCCGGGGGCAGGGGCTCCCGCTCGCCCATGCCTCAGTTTCCTCATCCGTGCAGCAGGCTCACCGGGGAAGCCCAGCACACGGTCACATTCACCCCAGAGAGGGCCACCGACTAGGGCTCGCTCACCCTGCGCTGTCCCCTGCTGGACACCAGGACAGGAGTGCTGAGGCCCAGCCCCCCACGCAAGGAGCGGAGGGTACAGGCTGAGCACACCGGCTGGGCCCGAGGCCTAGCCAGACCTCCCCCAGGGTGGGGCACGCGGGGCTGGGCCTGCGGAGTCCCCAGTGCCTTTCCCAGGCTGGACGCTGGAAGCCACGGACTGGCCAGCACCTTCGGGCCTCCGTGTCCCCACCTGTAGAACAGTGGCCTGGACAACAGCCACAGGGCCCAAGACAGACGTGCCAGCCAGGGAGGGCCCGGGGGAAACCACACCCAAGACAGTCACGGCAGGGGCAGGTCCTCCTGCGGGCACGGCACCGCCCAGGCTCTGTTCCTTTGCCCACTCACGAGCTGAGTGATGGTGGGAAACGTGCCTGACCTCTCGAGGCCCGAGAGTCCCATCTGCACGACAAAGTCGCAGCAGCTGCCTCACAGCTGAGCAGGCCTAAGGTGGTGTCTGCTGAGGGCCTCACACTCCCTCGGCAGCCCACTGGACACACAGGGAGACCAGGTGCCCCCCAGGACCCCCCGGGGTCTCTCAGGGCAAGAACTGGGCCGCGCTCTCGCGCCAACCTGGTGCGAAGCCATAGGTGGCTCCAAAGGCACTAGCCCTGCCGGGCGTGTGACGCACACCTGTAATCCCAGCACTCGGAGGCTGAGGCAGCAGGATTGTTTTGAGTTTGAGGCCAGCCTGGGCTACAAAGTGAGCTCAAGGCCGGCCTGAACTGCATAGCAAGACCCTGTCTCAAAAAGACAAAAAAAAAAAAAAAAAAAAAAAAAAGCACTAGCCCACTGTCCCCACCCGACAGCCTCCAGCGTGGGCCCTCTAACTGTGCCCGAGGTCCTCGAGGCCGCACCCCCTTCAGCCCCAGCCCTTGTTTTCCCCCTTGCCAAGCCCTGCCTGCGGGCCGCCCTGAGACTCCGCCGTACGTGTGCACCCCACGCACTTGCATCACAGAGGCCCGGGAGGCCCACGCTTCCTGCGGAGAAACCTCCAGGACCGTCCCCCCGCAGAGGCCAGGTCTCCTCCCCAGAACCAAGAGCGGAGCTCCTGCCCAGCTGCAGGGGCATCCCTGAAACCAGGCTGTGACTTCTCCATCTCCCGACCTTGGGACAGCAAGACATCGCCTCCGACCTCCTCCACCCGTAGCAGACTGCGGCCTCCTTTTCATGGCCCCAGGAATGGGCTCTCTCCCCCTGCAGCCCTCATGGTGGCCCTGGAGTGGCCACTGGTATCACCGCACCGCAGGGAGGAGCAGATGAGACTCTGAGGAGGGGGTCAGGTCACTGGAGCTTCGGGGGCGCTCACCCGGCGCCAGGGGAGGCTGGCCCAGAGCCTCGGGCCACCTGGCCTGGGCCTTCCAGGACAGTCTGGTTGGCTGAGCCTGAGGGACACAGTGGGTGACAGCCCCCTGGCCACTCTTGTGCTCCAAGGCTCCTCCTGCGTCCAGCCACAGGGGCCTCCTCCAGGCTGGCTGTGGGGTGGCACCTGTTCCCTCCATGCAGGCCTCCTGAGGGGACAGTTCAGACGCCCCTTCCACAGGTGAGGTCAGGGCCGACCACGAGACAGGCACACACGGGACTTGTGGTCTGAGCCCCTCAGCCCGGACACCAGACATTCTGAGTCACTGGGACCAGCCCGAGGGCTCCCAACCAGCCGTAGGCCAGAAACTGCGGTGGGCCGGACAGGGCATGACTGGCTCTGCGGACAACCCTCGACGTCACAGCAGCCATGGGCCTGAGACAGAGCCTTAGGTGGCACGGCCGAGTCACGGGGCAGCAGCACCCACGCCTGTGTCCCCAGAAGGGCAGAGTCCGAAGGAAGCTGGCCCAGGCTACCATAGGGCCTGGAGGGCCAGCCCAGCGCTGGAAACAAACCTGTGTTCTTAGCCCGAGGCATCCCCAAAACACAGCAACAAGACGAGGACAGATGCAGGCGCTACAGCCCACAGCCCCAGCCGCCCCAACTCCACCCTCGCGGGGCAGGAGCGGCCGGGCGCAGAGAGGGAAGCTGAGGCTTGGAGAGCAGCTCTGAGTTGCAAGACACAGATTCGCCCTTCCATCCCAGCCCACCCACTTCTCACAGCAGCTTCCAGGAGGGTCTGCTGGAAGCAGAAGTTGTGTTTCAAAGTAAAGTTTTACAGGGACAGGGGCTCACAAGGTCACACAGGTACGACCACATCCTGGAGCTGTCCTTGCCTTTTATGAGTGATGAGAAAAGTTTTTATCTGTGCATGAACTTTCTGACTGCTTCATGGGTCTGGAATTCATGCTGTCTGCAGGGCACCCCCTTTGTGGGCTTCGTCACTCCTCCCCGCTGACCCTTCCTTCTTCAAAATGAGCTGAAAAAACTGTGTGTGGTGGCTCATGCCTGTAATCCCAGCACTGGGGAGGCTGAGGTAGGAGGAGCTCACAAGTTCAAGGCCAGCCTGGGTTACAAAGTGAGCTCACGGCCAGCATGAACTGCATAGTGAGACCCTGTCTCAAAAAGACAAAAAAAAAAGTCGCCCTGTGAGACTCACTTAAAACGGTGACATCAGCCGGCCATGGTGGTGCACGCCTGTAATCCCAGCACTCGGGAGGCTGAGGCAGGAGGATCGTGGCAAGTTCAAGACCAGCCTGGGCTACAAAGTGAGCTCAAGGCCAGCCTGAATTGCATAGCAAGACCCTGTCAACAACAACAAAACAAAAGACAACAGAGCAGGACACAAATGGCACAAGCATAAAAGGAGGCAACTGACGACCACACTTCATTAGACTCAAGGATCTGGGGTACACAGCAGTCTGCGAGGGGAAAAGGACATTCACAATGCCAAGGGAGTGTGCGAATGCATAAGACCTCTCACACACCCATCGAGGACAGGCAGATTCAAAGCAGCAGGTGCTTCACCAGAGTGAGCGTCCACAGCCGGCAGACGGTGGCACTCGTGAGGGAGTGCAAATCAGAGCCACAGCGAGCCGCGCGCCCCACGCCCCCGCTAGAAGAGGCACTGGTACACACCCAGTCCCAAGTTCTTCTGAGGGGATGGGGCCAGGGGATTCGGCCACCGCTGCCAGGGACCCAAAACAGAGTGGCCACTTTGTAAGATGTATGGCGGTTTCTTAAAATGTTAAATAGGCATTCACCACGTGATCTAGCAACACCACTCAAGGAACCCAACCAGGAGGAAGGACAGCATGTGTCCCCACAGAGACCTACATGCACACTTCATCCAAGGCCAAAGCACAGCCAGCAAGGTGGCACACACCAGCCGCCCCAGCTACATAGGAGGCTGAGGCAGGAGGATCCTAAGTTCAAGGTCAACCTTGGGAAACTCACTGAGGCCTTGACTCAGAATAAAAACTAAAAAGGGGTGGGGTTCAGACTGCTTGCCTAGCATGTGCAAAGTTCTAGGTTCCATCCCCAGCTGTGCAAAAAAACCCCGAGGATTGAAGTTTCAATGCACAGAAGGACATGTGAACTCTAACATACTACAGAAGCTAGAAATAAAGCGATAATCTGTGTGGTCCATTTGCATGCTATTCAGAGACATGCGCCCTGTACAACAGCAGCTGAAGTTTGTGTGGGGTGCAGTGCTGGCATGGGGGCACAGGGAGCGCTCAGGCGCTGGGTCGCGCGGGTGCACACACGGAAAGCCAGTCTGCTCCAGCAGATGCACACGACGCTGTGGTGAAGTTTAAAAAGGTCACTGCATGCCAGGGGACCTGGACAAGCCCTGCCCCTCAGCTCCCCTTCCACAGACCTTTAGGACACAGCTCAGTTTATGACCCCAGGCCCACCTGCGACTTCATTCTCCACCTGCCTCCCTGGAGCCCAGCTCCCCTCACTCAGCCTGTGCCCGCAGACGGCAGTGCTCCGGAAGTACCCACCAGTGCCCGCTGGCCTCCACCGGCCCTGCCTGGCCCAGTTCTCCTCTGCTTCGCTCACCCTGCAGCAAGGCCCTGGCACGTAACAGCAGCACACGCCCGACCCAAACAAGGAGCTCCGCGTGCAGACTGTGTGATCTGAGGCCTCAGCTGCACAGCAGGCACTGTGCCGCTGCCAAGGAAAAGGACAGAAAAGCTTTGTGTGTGGCATGAGGGATCAGACCCACAAGGCCCAGGACCCCAGACCCTTTTGTTTATTCAGTGGTACTTGGATTTGAACACAGGGCCTTCACACTGAGCTATATCCCCTGCCCTTTTTTATTTTGTCAGAGTCTCGCTATTTGCTAAATTACCCAGGATGGGCTCAAATTTGCAAACCTCCAGCTTCAGCCTCCCAGGGTGCTGGAATTACAGGCTGTACCACCAGGCCTGGTGACAGAACTTGTTTTAACTTGAAAGAAAACAAAACACAAAGTGTGGGCGATGCAAAGGGATTCGACAGTTCTGACCCCTCCGGAAATAAGACATCCATTTGTCACTGTCAGCTGCTCAGGGTTTTCACGTACTTTACCTCTAGCCCACAACGGCACTCACCTGTGACTCAAAAAATGGTTTCCTAGACAATCTACAAAAATCGGTGGAATTCCATAAGAGTAATGTGCCAGGTCTGGTTCCTAAGTTATGACAAACGCACACAATAACATTAAACCTTTCTTTGCAACAGATTTTATGATAAAGGTTCAGGTAAAATGTCTACTTTCCTACGGGCACTTGGAGGGCACAGGCTGGAAAACATGTCGCTATCCCGCCGCAGGGGGCCCGCTCGCACAGTGCGCAGCCCGCACAACGGCGCTTACCTTGGGAGGGTCAAAGAGCTCCAGCACCCGGTCCGGGCTGCCGTCCGCGCCGGGCACACGACGAAGCACCAGCCTCCCACGCTGCCAGCGCGCGCCGCTATCCATGGACGCCTCGTCGGCCAGGCTGTAGCGCAGCGCCTCTTCCTTCAGGGCGTCTGGCGGCGACTCCCGCGCCAGGCTCCAGGGCAGCAGCTTTCGGGTCGGGCCAGGCCGGGCAGGGGCCTCGACCGCGTCCCCCTGGACGCAAGCAGCGGGCAGCTCCCCGGCCGAGCGGCGGCGGAAGAGGTGGC